ATTTAATTGCCCGGTCCGAGCACTACACCAGACATTATTCGGTCGATTTTCCAAGGGTGTTTTAAAATAATGTCCGAACGAAGTGAGGACATTATTTTATCGAAAATAGCGTCCAAACGAAGTGAGGATGCTATTTTCGAAAATTGCACGAATGAAATGAGTGCAATTTTCGCATTGAATGTGCGAGCCTGCGAGCACATCCATTGAAAACATCCTTGAGGAAAAGCGACCATATAACGACTGGTATAGTATTTGGACCGGGCAATTAAATTCATTATTACGGAGCGAGCGAAGCGAGCGGAGTCTTACGTAGAATAACGGAAATTTCTGAGTATGAGCGGCCGGCCGGCCGTGGTCACGATTCTGCGACGCTTACATATATCTCAGCAACCACTTGACCGATTTACACGCGGTAATTTTTGTAGGGTAGCTTCATTCCTTCTACCAAGTATTGGACTATTCCCGATGCATGTGGGTGACCCCTTATGCACGTGCCACGTGCAAAACGAAGAGGTGTCACTTTTGTAATTGTTGCAATATCTCGGTAACTACTTGGCCGATTGCGCTGAAAGTTGGCATGTAGGTAGGCACCCACTAGGCACTGCATATCCATGTGCCAGAGTTGGGGTGCTGCTGCACGTGCGCACGTGCAGGGGTCGATTCCAGATCTCGAGAACGGCTGGACCGATTGCGCTGAAATTTGGTACATTGTTAGGGACCGGTTAGTAGGGTGCCGTGCAAAAGTTAGTTGGGACCCATTTTGCAGGCGCACGTGCAGGGTGCCGCTTCCAGATCTCGAGAACAACTGGGCCGATTGTGCTCAAATTTGGCACATCGCTAAAGACCGGCTAGTAGGGTGCCGTGCACAAGTCAGCTGGAGGTACCCCCTCGCAATTTCGCACGTGCAAGGCTCACCCTCTCGCTCGCTCCGTTAGTCGCCACAAAAGGCGTTATACTGGTATACTCTGTTCCGTTTCAAGTTTGCAGCCGAAGTGCCCTGCTGAAAGCAGTGCGTGATTTCTGTATATACAGCTCTTACATTTTAAGACGCAAATTCTTGAGCGGAGGAGCGATCTACCGAAGAAATCAATAACTCCAACTGCAAGCTTGATATGGAACAGACTATAGTAAATTTTTGGCGCCGAGCACCAACGCATCTATGAGAAAGAGTTCGCTTTTGGCTTCGACATCAAGGAGGGGCACCGAAGATGAGGGGAGGGGGCTGGAAATGGGTAAAGCTTTGGGCGTATAATGAAAATTATTGCCATTAGACTTTAACACACGATGGGCGAATAACGAAATTAATCTAAGTAGTATTGTTTTTTATCTCGACCTTCTCCTTGTTGAATTGGAACCTTGTATTCTTCTCCTTGTATTTGGAACAATATACATCTGATGATGGGCTGTGCCCGACTGCAAATGTAACCTATGTCTTTTAACCCTATTCCTGGCGGGCTCCGCCGGGACAAGAAACTGGCGGGGGGGGGGGGGCCGATTCGGCCCCCCCCCCCCTGAGATCTCGAGAACGAAGCAAGATAGCGACAAGCGGTAAACGGCATCGGATACGCACGGCCAAGATCTACAATTTTTACAAAGGTCATTTTCAGGTCAGGTCAAAGATGACGTCACAGGGGTCGAAACAGTCAAAATGGCGGCACTATGAGATATGGAGAGTTTTTCTCGAATAACTTTCGAATTAGTCAAGATAGGAACAAACTAAGGGCATCATCGTGATCCTCTCGTCAATCCGCATCGAATGATATATATGTTGACCTCGAAAGGTCAAGGTCAAAGGTTGACCTCAGGTCACGTGACCTCGAGGTCATCATGTATATCATTCGATGCGTCTTGACGAGCTGAACACAATGAGACCATCCACGCGTCTGTATCTTGTTCCTGTACGGAGTTATTGGCCAAAAAACCTTTGGTGACCTTTGATGACGTCACATGACCTCACAGCTGCCCAACAGCAAAACAGACCTCAAGGTAGTGAAGGTTGATCGTATATGAAGTCATGTATGGTATATGGGGCCATTCCGACCCGTTTTAGTGGTAAAAACAGGGAGTTGATTTTTCCCCCATTGACTTATAATGGGGAGGTCGCGAAATTGACCTGACCTTAGGTCACCGATATCAAAATTCCGAGATATACAAATTGTACATACTGGTACCCTAACTAAACCCTGAAGAGAAGAAATTGATCGGTCAAAAACTCTAGCTCTGGCGTGATTGCAAACTTTTCTGAGGTAGCGTCACCAAACCGCCTCTGGTGACCTGACCTGAGGTCAGATCAACTCAAAATTTTCAGACATGTTGCGTAGAAGCCTTTTAGGAAAAGTCAGAAAATTTGAGCTTCCTAGCTTAATGCGTTTGGGAGATATAACCAAAAAACCTCAGGGGGGGCTCCTGAGGCCCCCCCGCCAGGAATAGGGTTAATATTTGGCTATCTATCAACAAGGAGAAGGTCGAGATAAAAAACATACTACTTAAATATTATGCTCCTTGCCAAAGCACTTAGAGATATAACGAAATTAATCATCCACTTGGTCTCACTATACCTATACAAATTGTGAATTGCCTACCACGTCGTATTTTGCTTGACATTCATCACTCATTTGTCAGAGATTTCCTGGTTAACATGCAAAACGCTTCTGATACTTTTATTAGACATTCATGCTACGAAGTAATTACGAGTGAGGAGTAGGCGTTGCGGAGACATGTTTTGTCTTCATTAGTGGGAACTGTAATGTCGTTGCGTTCTCTCTTCTTTCCTATATTTTGAAATCCAATATCCATGAAGCTGTGATAACAAGCGTCGATCTTACTACGAACACTGGCTCATGGCAGTGCTGTTCTTCCCGTTTTGTAAGGGTCAGCTTCAATATCTCTTTCCACTGGCTCTTGAGACTACGTGTGCCTCGTAATCTGCCTTCTAAATTCTTGCGTAACCTGCTAAGCCATCTCTTTGAAATAAATACGACAAGTCATTACATTAAGGCTGTGTTCTTGCCAATATTCACCTGTCAACCTGTTTCAAAATTTATTTTATTCCAAGCTGCAAGCCAGAGTATGATCATACATGATCGTGCATTGTGTGCGGCTTACCACTCGTGTGTAAAAAACTGGTCGGTGTTCCTAAATCCCATAGAAATCATCCTCTCTGTTACTCATTGAATATTCTTACATGTCCAATGCTTATAGAGAGAGAGAGAGAGAGAGAGAGAGAGAGAGAGAGAGAGAGAGAGAGAGAGAGAGAGAGAGAGAGAGAGAGAGAGAGAGAGAGAGAGAGAGAGAGAGAGAGAGAGAGAGAGAGAGAGAGAGAGAGAGAGAGAGAGAGAGAGAGAGAGAGAGAGAGAGAGAGAGAGAGAGAGAGAGAGAGAGAGAGAGAGAGAGAGAGAGAGAGAGAGAGAGAGAGAGAGAGAGAGAGAGAGAAGAGAGAGAGAGAGAGAGAGAGAGAGAGAGAGAGAGAGAGAGAGAGGAGAGAGAGAGAGAGAGAGAGAGAGAGAGAGAGAGAGAGAGAGAGAGAGAGAGAGAGAGAGAGAGAGAGAGAGAGAGAGAGAGAGAGAGAGAGAGAGAGAGAGAGAGAGAGAGAGAGAGAGAGAGAGAGAGAGAGAGAGAGAGAGAGAGAGAGAGAGAGAGAGAGAGAGAGAGAGAGAGAGAGAGAGAGAGAGAGAGAGAGAGAGAGAGAGAGAGAGAACTGTATTTGACAGACTCGAGGTCCAGTACCAGTCACATCACATCAAAATTGTACCACTGTACAGGGCAGAGCACCACGCTCTCCGAATCGATGAATAACATGCCAGATCACTTTCATATAGGGAGGATACGATTCAGTTGTCCGTCTGGCTCAGGCGAGTCATGAATCCATAGACGGCCTTTCGATACATCGCCATAAAGTTATCAATTCTTTCATTCACAAACATGTCGGACGCACTACAGAAACGATGATAACCAAAGAACATTCTAGCTGCATTGTTGAAACAAACAGTAAATTTCCTTGACACAGAAGAGCGATAAGAATGCCACAGATGCACACCATGTACATTAGAACAATACATAGAGTATAAGTACCGTTTCACATTATATGAGCACATTGCAAATTTCCTGATCAGGGAGTTTGCCCGACAGCAAAGAAGACGATACTTGTTGTGGCGCGATGGTGACTCGCGCGACATCTGTGTCAGTACGGCACGACACCTAGCGGTGGCGCTGCCGTACGGTTGTGCGTGTGCCGGCCAACCCCGAGTTACGAGCGGGGGGCTGGCAGTTGTGTAATACACCGTGTGCTGAACGGACGGCTCTGCTGGGTGCACAGACTACCGACCCGAACAGGCAAAGACACTGCACGTGGCGACGAGGATGAGATGGATTTTACGTGCCTGTCGGTGGAATGCAGGGAAGGCCACACAAGAGAAGAAATACCGGCGACGGGAAATAATTGAGTTTTTGCGGTGTGCCATGTGGACAGGGCGGTGGTGAGGACGTGGCGAAACAGCTGATTGCGGGTCGGCTGGTGATCGGGAATCAGCTGACGAGTCAGCTGTTCGTGAGGCGAAACAGCTGATCTCGGGTCGACTGGGGAGAGCGGTCAGAGGAAATCAGCTGACCAGTCAGCTGTTTTGTGGTTTGGCGGCCAAGGTCAGTGAAAGTTGTTTACAAGAGAGGGACGGAGAGCGGTCTGGCAAGGTGCCAAAAGTGAATTACAGAAGAACAGTGAGCAGAACATGGCTGGAATTGGATTGCCGGGTGTTAAGGAATATGTAGCTGGTGATGACTTTCAAAAGTGGGTCGGAAGTCTCGAAATATATCTCATAGCAGCAGATATATCGAGCCCAGAAAGGAAGAAGGCTGTCCTGCTGCACATGATGGGGCCAGATTATCAAAGCATTTTTGAGTCACTGCAGCCCGTGGTGATGCCAGGTGAGACTGATTGTTTCAAGGAGGCTGTACAACGATTTAAAAGCTATTTAGCTCCAGAGAAAAATGTGATTGCTGAGAGAATGACGTTCCACAAGATGACTATGAAGGTGGATGAGAAGTTTGAGCAGTATGTCAGCCGTCTCAAGATTCAAGGACGCAAATGTGGCTTCAGTGGCCCAGGATTAGACAGTGAAGTGCGTGACCGAGCTATCGCTGGATGTAAGCCCAGCCTACAAGAGAAGCTGCTTCATCAAGCGCTGGAGAAGGGTGACAACCTTTCTCTGCAGCAGGTTCTGACCATGGCAAGAGTGTGGGAGGAAACCAGACGTGTGACACAAGAAATGTCATCACAGCCAGAGGGTCATACTGCGAACATGATGAAGAACATGAGCCACCAGGAAGAGCAGCATGTGCATCTGATGCAGAAGACCAGGCCAGCCACTCACATTAAGGACAACAGAGGACAGGAGGACAAGCCCTGCACGGCCTGTCAGTTCCGTGGACACAGTGCTGGTGGTCCGCGGTGCCCAGCACGAGGAAAGAAGTGTGCAAAATGTGGTGGTATGGGCCATTTTGCTCGATGCTGCAAGACGAGGATGCCAAGACAGCAAAAGGGCGGCAGAGTTCATGCAGTCGAAGCTGGACAGACAGAGATGCACCTGAACCTGTGGGAAGTCAGTGACAAGCAGGACCTGCAGGAAAGGGGAAGCAAGGTGTCCGTGCTGGTCAATGGATGTGAGCTGCAGATGCTGATTGACACAGGATCCCCAGTGTCAATTGTGAGCCGGGACATGATGGTACCTGGTCTCGACATCCGACCATTACAGCTGAAGCTGAAGTCCTTCACAGGTCACATGATTCCACTAGTCGGTGAAGCAGATGTGAAAGTCTCCGCAGAGCAGGGAGTGCCAAGGAAGCTGTGCTTGGTGGTGGCTGACATGACTGGAAGGAGAGCCCTGATGGGAAGAGACTGGATTCAGGCGCTGAGGGTGACAGTACCAGGATGTGTTGGAGTCAACATGATGGAACAAGAGCCGCTGGAAGTGGTTCTGGAGAAACACAAGGAAGTGTTTGAAGAGGGACTGGGCTGTGTCAGCATCAAAGCTCATCTGACACTGAAGCCAGATGCAAGACCGGTGTTCCGGAAAGCGAGACAAGTCCCACATGCTCTGTTTCAGAAGGTGGACGCAGAGCTGGACAGGTGGCTGAGAGCAGGTGTGGCAGAGAAAGTGGACAGGAATATCAACACAGACTGGGGAACGCCGCTAGTCCCTGTGCCGAAGGCGGATGGAAGTGTTCGACTAGCTGCCGACTACAGGATCACAGTCAATCCGCAGCTGATGGTACAGAAACACCCTCTACCCACACCTGAAGAGCTGTTCGTGAGGATAAAAGGGAAGAGATTCTGCAAACTAGATCTAAAGGATGCATACTTGCAGATGGAGCTCGACGACGAGTCGAAGAACATGACGACTGTCAACACACACAAGGGACTCCTCCGCATGAACAGGCTACCGTTCGGGATAAGTGCCTGTGGCGACATCTTCCAATCAGCCATGGACCGAATCTTGGAGGGACTGGATGGATGTGTCAACTACTTGGATGACCTACTGGTGATGGGAGGCACAGAGGAGGAGATGTTGAAGTCGCTGGACCAGGTGCTGGCGAGACTGGCCGAACATGGAGTGCGACTGAAGAGGAGCAAGTGCCAGTTCAACCTCAAGGAGGTGACGTATCTGGGATGGCGGATCTCAGGGACCGACCTGAAGCCAGTGCCGGAGAAGATCGAGGCTCTCCTGAAGATGCCAGAGACCAAGGACGTCAGTGAACTGCGAACACTGCTCGGTAGTTTGAACTACTACCAGAGACTGATCCCGAACATGGCAACAACTCTGGCGCCTCTCCACAACCTGTTGAAGAAGGAGGTGAAGTGGAAGTGGAGCCGTGAATGCAAGAGAGCGGTGGAAGAGATCCAACGAGTGCTGTCCAGTGACAAAGTTTTGATGAGGTACGATCCCCAGATGCCCATCAAACTGATCACTGATGCCAGCTCAGTCGGAGTAGGCGCAGTACTGGTCCACGTCATGTCTGACGGACTGGAGCGCCCAGTGTGCTACAGCTCAAGAACACTGACGGCAACTGAGAAAAAGTACTCAGTGCTGGAAAAGGAAGCCCTGGCCGTTTCCTTTGGAATCAAGAAATTCCATCAGTACTTGTATGGACGCCGCTTCTGTCTGGTCACTGATAACAGAGCGCTGTCCATGATTCTCAACCCACACCGTGAGCTGCCTAGCCTGGCTGCGGCACGGATGCAGCGATATGCGCTACAGCTGGCCGCGCATTCGTATGAAGTCGAGCTGCGCAGAACAGATGCGATGGGAATCGCCGACACACTGTCGAGACTGCCTTTGAGCATCGTCACACAAGAGGAGGAAGAGGAATGGTGCCCCCAGGTACTGAACACGGAGAACGAGGGGCCCACGCTGCACGCAAGAGAAGTGGAGGTGTACACTCGCCGGGACCCAGTACTCGGGAGAGTACTCCAGTACGTGCGCACCGGATGGCCGGGAACGGTGGATCCTACGCTGAAGCCGTTCCACCTGAGGCAGGACGAGTTGTCCACGGAGGGCGACTGCGTACTCTGGGGAGGAAGACTGGTGGTGCCGACCAAACTGAGGAACAGAGTGCTGCAAGAAATACACTCAGGACACATGGGGAGCAGCAAAATGAAGCAGCTGGCCCGTCGACATGTGTGGTGGCCAGGTTTGGACCGTGAGCTGGAGAATTTGGCCAGCAGCTGTTCAGCCTGTACGGAGAAGAGAGCATCGCCACCAAAGTCGACTCTGCACCCATGGGAGCAGACCTCAGGCCCCTGGGAGCGCATACATGTTGACTTCGCCGGTCCATTTCAGGGAACGATGCTGCTGATCGTATCAGACAGTTTCTCCAAATGGATCGAAGTCACGGCAATGAAGTCGACGACTGCGGAACGAACTGTCGAGGAGCTGAGGAAGATGTTCGCCCGACACGGTCTGCCCATACAGATCGTAACAGACAACGGGACACAGTTCACGTCGGAAGAGTTTGCGACGTTCACTAAGAAAAACGGAATCAGGCACATCCGAGTAGCGCCGTTTCACCCAAGCAGCAATGGTGCAGCCGAAAAAGCCGTACAAACGGTCAAGAACGGTCTACGGGCCAATCAAGGAGAAGGAGGCAGTGTGGAGCAGCGACTGGCCCGGTTCCTGATGAATCATTGCTCTACACCAGTGGCTGCTACTGGCAAAACCCCAGCAGAGATGCTATACGGACGGAACATCCGGACTCGGCTCGACCTCCTCCGACCGGATGACAGAACAACAGCCAGAGGTGCTCAAAAAAAGATGATCGAAGATGCTGGTGGACGCCACCGCCTCTTCCAAGAAGGTCAAGAAGTGTGGGCGAGAAGCTACTCAGGCCCCAAGTGGAAACGAGGGAAGATACTAGCAAAGACAGGACCAGTATCGTACGAAGTAGACGTTGGCGTAGCCGTATGGAGCCGACACGCAGACCAGCTTATCCACGCTGGTGAGAAGACAGAGCATGAGAGAGAGGATCAGAGCCAAGAGAGAGGACGGGAGAAAGAGGACGGAAGGGAAGACCACCCAGAAAGAAACCCAGACAAGAAACAAGAAGAGAGAGTTCAAAGAAGAGATGATCATGAAGAACGTCAAGCTGAAAAACCCGAAGAAAGGGAAGAAAGAAAAGATGGGGGAGAAAGAACAGATCAGCAAGAAGGAGGGGAGATGAGACAAGAACAGAAAGATCAGAGAGGAAATGACCAGAGAAAACGACAAGATGGAAGAGCAGACGGAGAGGAAGAAAGAAACGAAGAGCAGGAAAGAAAACAAGACGGATGTCAGAGAAGAGAAGCTGAACCGTTACGTCGATCGACCCGGGTGCGCCGACCCCCAGATCGCCTGGTGATGCAGATGTAAAGTCGGTGGGGGGTGGTGTTGTGGCGCGATGGTGACTCGCGCGACATCTGTGTCAGTACGGCACGACACCTAGCGGTGGCGCTGCCGTACGGTTGTGCGTGTGCCGGCCAACCCCGAGTTACGAGCGGGGGGCTGGCAGTTGTGTAATACACCGTGTGCTGAACGGACGGCTCTGCTGGGTGCACAGACTACCGACCCGAACAGGCAAAGACACTGCAATACTGATATTGGATTTCCAGATCATCAGTTTTCTTGGGGCTGCTGGTGATATGGAAGCCAAGATATTTGTACTGATCAACATAAGCTAGAACATTTCCACACAGCAAAATATCAGGCAGGATCATATTTCGAAACAGTGGAGGCAGAATCGACATACACACTGATTTCTTGGTATTGAACACAATATCATGATTCCCTGCATAGTCAGCACAAATGTCAACCATTTTTTGCAGACCCTGTGGCGTAGGGGATAGGAGCACCATGTCATCCGCATAATATAGGTGGTTTATAGTCCCCAGATAATGACATCCTACACCACTCAAGTCCAATTTTTCTGACAGCTGGTCGGTATAAGCATTAAACAGGTACGGAGAGAGTATCCCGCCTTGCCTTACGCCATTCGTCACAGAGAACTCCTCAGAGAGGGTTTTACCCCAAAGCACATGATACCTCTGTGAGTCTCGCCACCGAACGAGGAGCCTTACAACGCTATTATCCATTCCCCTACTCAACAGCTTATCAAATAGAGTTCAATGGTTCACGCGATCAAACGCCTTTCTAGCGTCCAGAAAACAGACAAAGACTGCACTCCTATTGCGCAAATAGTGGTCCACAATTTCTTTTAACGCATACACAGCCATATCGGTGGAGTGGCCCTCCTTAAATCCAAACTGATGATCGCTAGTGAGAAGACTTGCTTTACATCGAGTGAGTATGACCCGCTCCAGTATTTTAGAGCTCACCGTGGCCAAGGCTATTGGCCTATAGTTATCCTTATCAGTCAATTTGCCTGTCCGATCTTTCACAATAGGGCGAAGTATCACCTTCGACAAAGAAGGAGTCAAGACGCCATGTTTCACCATCATCGAGAAACATAACGATAGATGCGTAGCACATGGAACACCCGCAAACTTAAAATGTTCAGCAGATAGACTGTCACAACCTGGAGAGCGACCTGACGACAGCTCATGGATCGATTCTAAAACCTTAGGAACCGAGAACATATCAGCACCTTCCCCATCATTACGAAGCTGATTCAGAACACCTTCTTTACAGTCATCGCCATCAACACTATTCAGAATATCAGCAAAGTGATCCTACCACATGTTCGCTATATTTTTCTCTCCACTGACGCTTCCAATAGACTGGGCCAGTGGCGGATCAGCGTTAAGCTTACGAACTTCTTTCCAAAAAGTTGCTAAGTCGCGCGGGTTTTTAGCAAATTTATCAGCTAGTGATTTTGCTCGCAGCTCTTTCTCATTCTTAACCCGCGCCCCGTTGGGCTCTGCCGAGCAACGCGCCCCGTTGGGGGGGGGGCCATTTTGGCCCCCCCCTAAGATCTCGAGAACCACGCAACGTAGCGACAAGCGGCAAACGGTGTTGGATAGCCCTATCAGGGAACTACCTTGTGACCCAATTTTATTGACCTAGGTCAAACCGATGACGTCACAGGTCAGTTCAAAGGTCAAATTTTCACCGTTTACAGGCATTTCAAGAAATGCGTTGTAAAATCGAGTAAAATGCATTTCATTGAAAATCATCGATGGGGAAATGTTCTTCAAACACATATTTTGCTAGTTGAGGTCACTGATACCAGGTCAGGTCACTGAGGTCAGGTCACTGGGGGGTCACAATATGAAAGTGTCGTGTGATACATGTTTTATGGTCCATTTTACATGACAAATGCGATTATGTGGGTCACGCATCCTTTGGGGCCAGCTTAGGTCACGTTTTGGTCAAGGTCAGGTCAAGGTCAGGTCAAGGTCAGGTCAAATAAAGTCAAATTTCAAAGTTGATATTTTTGCATAAAATGGGTATCGAATCGATGCAGCTCGTCACGGGGAGTTCAATGGTGGTCTTTGTTTTGCCGTACAAGGTCTAGAATCGCTAAAAATTGAGTTCAAAAATTTGACGTCATCATTTTTGAACAGTTTTTTTTCGCTATAACTTGGCCAAAAAACGAGATATCGATCTGAAATTTGGTATGTATATAGAAGAGCGCAGGGACTATCACATATATTCCGGTTTTTTTTCGAAATTCGGAAAAAAAAATTTGGATTTTTTTTTAGTTTTTCTAAAAAAATCAATTTTTTGATTTTTTTTGGGTCAAAAACCCAAAATTTTGAAAATCCGAGATAGCAGTTTTGTAGCGCCGCTTTTTGTCTATTAGACCATATAAAGAACTTTGAAATTGCTTGATAACTGTAGATTTGGTGAGCGTTTCAAGATTGCATGTTTTTTGCTCATTTTTGCTCGAACATGACCTCAGTTTGACCTCAATAACTCCTGACCTAAGGTGACCTAAGACTTGAAATTTTGGTGTGAAGGTGTCAAATTGATGCCCGGAAAGGTACTGAAAATTTGGCGGCGCTGCGCGCCGCCGTTTTCTTCCTATTCAGGAAAAACCACAGGGGGGGCCAAAATGGCCCCCCCAACGGGGCGAGGGTTAAGACAAAAACGAAGCGCATACTTGAATTGTGACCTAGCCATTCGCAACTGGCTGTAGATGTAGCCCTGACGGGGCTTTCCAACCAGGGACCAAAGGGAGTAAACATCACCGAACAAGGTGTGTTTCTCCTCCACAAACTCGGTCCAACCTGGGATTGTTCGCTTACAGCTACCATGCGCTCGTTTGGCCACAGTAGTAAGAGTAGCACTCTTAATAGCATCAATTATCGCTTCATAATAACTATTGATAGCCTCTCTGTGGGCTACACTACAGTCAGTGGCAGCACAGAATATAGCCTCAAACGGTACATCAATATTAGACAATTGCTCCCTCGCAGCCATAGCAAAGTTGTTCAGACCAAGTTCGTCAACAGAAGACCAATCAACTACCCACCTAGGATCAGATTCAGCAGCCTCGTGTGAATCCGGGATAGGATCGGTGGTCATGATTTCCAGATCACAACACACTGGGAAGTGGTCAGAACTCATAATCGACACATCAACCCTAACAGCACGAACGAGAGAGTAAAGACTCTTTGTACAGACTATGTGGTCAATCCAAGATTCTGTGCAACTGCCATCATTAGTATGAGTGATTGAACTCTGGGGCAATAACAACACATCAGCAATGCGTAAGTCTGTCTCATGAGAGAATGATTCAAGTTCAATTCCAAAGTCAGATTGCTTGATGATGTCAGCATTAAAGTCGCCTACAATGCAGACATTGGGTGAGTCAAAATCATCGATGATTCCTTTGAGCTTAGCTAGATAGTACACGTATTGATCAAAGTTTTGTCTCAAGTCATACGGAAGATAAACCCCAACGAGAAGCAGTTTGTGGCTACCTAAATTACATTCTAATCCAATAATTATAGCTAATTATAGCTAATAGGAAGATTATGTTCTATAAAAGACTGCTGTGCAGCAACAATGCTATAATTAAAGCGGTCCTGTCAAGTGAGATTGGCCGTGGAGGCATCCTGATCGAAGACTACCAGTGTCTACTCCGGCAGTATGGTCTCATGGGCCTCGAGATCAGTTCTGCCAGTCGCTCTGATCTTGTAAATGTACTGCGCAGATCCCGACCAGTGACCAGCGCGCAGTTGGTGCACATCAACCGCCACCTCTCGTGGAGTAGTGCTGGGCAGCGGTGCGGGTAGGTGGCCGTCCATCAGCCGCCTATACCAGCCGTCCGGCCAATTGTTGATCGCCTCCTTTCTGGCCATCCGGGACGCCGCACGGGGTACACTGTGCGGACGTCAACCGGGACTTCCTGCTATGGAAGGGCGTCGGCTTCCTTGGCGATAGCGTCCACCCGCTCATTTCCCTCCAGCTCACAGTGGGACGGCACCCACTGGAGGTGGACACTTCGGTCCCCATCATCCACCAGTGCCGCCATGTGCTCCCAGATGGCGGCACCTAGCCCTCGCCCGCACATGGGGGGGGGGTTGCCACCACCACAGGTAGTCTTTCTGCTCTGCATTCCACATTTTTTTAGCTAGAGGCCTGATTTTTTGTATAGCTGCTCCTCTATCCTCTTTTAATATCCATTGAAAATTTCAAGTCTCTGTGGTTTTTGGTTTCGGAGATATGACCTTGTTTTTCAGGTCATGTCATGACCCAAATGACCAATTCTCAACATCTTGCGTTGACTATGGGCCTTGTGAGCTTTTGACACCCTGATTTCGGCCTTTTTTGCCAGTCTTACCTCCCACCTTTCATGGAACATGTTGTTCGACGATG